CAGTAAGTCAGCAACAGGAGCCTGACAGGACACAGACAACAGAGGTGAAGACAACGAACTGACAATGTGAGACAGAAACGCTGAACATATATAGGCGCAGTAGTGCGCTGCACCTGTGGTCCGTTGATTACAGCTGAGCAGTGCTACGCACGGCAAGTGATGGTGACAGCGTACACGTGACCACCCAGCTGATATGTAAACACAACTGACAGCCACGCGACTCCCACACAGACACAGAGACACCCAAACACACACTCATACACACATATACACACACACACAAGCAACCCACACACACACGCAGACACATCAAAGAAGAACAGACAGATCCACAATCGTGACAATACCCTTACTCCTAGGAACGCCTCCTGGCATTCCCAGATGAGCATACCTGGCGATAAGAGAGTGATCCAGTATGTCCCCAGCCGGAACCCAACTTCTCTTCTCAGGACCTTAACCTTCCCAGTCCACCAAGTACTGGAATCCTCGTCCCCTCCATCTAGAGTCCAGGATGCACTTAACCGAATAAGCAGTCTCCCTATCTACGAGAAGTGGTGGGGGGAAACTGGGGTATGCGGGTTAATTACCGTATGAAAAACGGGCTTTACTTTCAATACATGAAACACGGGATGAATTCTCCTGTCCGCTGGAGGTAATTTGAGGCGGATTGCCACAGGACTAATGATTTTAGTGACAATAAATGGGCCAATAAATTTAGGAGATAGCTTGTTAGAAACAGTGCGGAGTGTAATATTCTTAGAAGAAAGCCACCCTTTTTGACTGACAACGTAAACGGGAGGCTTAGACCGGTGGGATTAGCTATAGCCTTGGTGCGCACACCCACCTGGAGGAGGGTCTGCCTGGCCCTGCTCCAAGTGCGGCGGCACCTCTGGACAAAGGCGTGAACGGAGGGAACCACAACTTCAGATTCCAGACTGGGAAAAACTGGTGGCTGGTAACCTAGACTACACTGAAACAAAGAAAGGCCCGTAGCCGACACTGGTAATGAATTATGTGCATACTCCACCCACGATAGCTGGAATGGACTCCAAGAGGAGGGATTCTGAGAAACCAAACATTGCAATGTACGCTCAAGATTCTGATTGGCTCTCTTGGTCTGACCGTTACTCTGGGGATGAAAACCAGACAAAAGACTAATAAATAAATGACATAATTCCCTCCAAAATTTAGAGATAAACTGAGGCCCCCTGTCAGAAACCGCGTCCGTCGGGAGGCCATGAGGTGTCTCTGACTGACGGTAATTTGGGCAGAGGGACGAAATGAGCAGCCTTTGAGAACCGTTCCACTATGGTTAAAATCACTGTGTCGTCGTTGGAGGGAGGCAGACCCGTAACGAAATCTAGCGAGATGTGGGACCAGGGTCTCGAAAGCACTGACAGCGGTTGAAGGAGTCCCGCGGGTGGCCGATTGGAAGTCTTGGAAACATCACACACAGAGCAAGCCAAGACTGGCCACCAGAATCGTTTAATAACAAATGATGTGCGACTCACCCCAGGATGACAGGCTACTTTGGCGGAATGTCCACATCGAATAACGTCAGATCGAAGTTCCTCTGGCACAAATAACCAGTGGGCATCCGATCGGGGGCGTTACCACATCTAAGGCTGCGCGAACATTCGACTCTATCTCCCATGTGATGTTAGAAACAACAATCCACTTAGGCACCATGGGTTCCAGTGTTGATGTATGCTCCGAAGAATCAAAAAGACGGGATAACGTGTCGGGCTTAATGTTCTTAGATCCCGGTCTATATGAGATGGTAAAATTGAACCGTCCAAAAAATAACGCCCACCGAGCCTGCCTAGAGTTTAATCTTTTGGAGGATTTGATGTACTCAAGATTTTTATGATCGGTCCAGACCCCTCTAACCAATGACGCCACTCCTCCAAAGCAAGCTTGACGGCCAGCTCTCGGTTACCAATGTTGTAATTACTTTCTGCGGCTGATAAACGATGAGAATAATATGGGCACGGGTGGATCTTGCCATCCGAGGAGGAGCACTGGGACAGGATTGCTCCGACCCCGACCTCTGACGCGTCGACCTCCACCACAAACTGCCGGGAGGGATCAGGGGTTATCAGGATTGGAGCTGAAACAAAGCAGCCTTTCAGTTTTGAGAGCGTTCAGTTTTGAGACCACCTGAACAGCGATTTGGAGGAGGTCAAGGCGGTCAGAGGTGCGGCGAGCTGGCTGAAATTGCAAATAATTTGCTGGTAGAAATTGGCAAAGCCCAGAAACCTCTGCAGGGCCTTACTGAAATCAGGAGTTGACCAATTTACCACAGCCTTAATCTTCTCTGGATCCATGTGCAACCCCTCGACTGACAGGATATGCCCTAGAATAGGAACAGACTGCATGAAAAACGCATTTCTCTGCCTTGACATAAAGACTGTACTGTTCTCTTTATATGTATGCTTTCTTGCGTGTGATATAAATAAACAGCCAGCCAAACTCTGTTCAAGAGCCAGGATATGAGCTTCTTGCTCCCTTTAATTGTGTATTGACACAAACTTAGTAGCCCTTAAACCGAGTAAAACTATAAATGAAATGAAAAAAATATAGAATATTAGTTACAAATGTTACAAGTTATTATCAATTCAAAACACAAAATGTATCACAATCATCTTCTATTGCAGGGGTCACCAAACTTATTCCTGGAGGGCCGGTGTACTGCATATTTTAGCTCCAACCCTAATCAAACACACCTGAATAAGCTAATCAAGGTCTTACTAGGTATACTTGAAGCATCCAAGCAGGTGTGTTGAGGCAAGTTGGAGCTAAACAATGCAGGGACACCGGCCCTTCAGGACCAAGATTGATGACCCCTGTTCTATTGTATATTTAACAGAACATATTATACTACATTTTAAACTAAAACAGATTAAACATACAAAAAAAAAAAAAAAAAAAACTTACAGCCACTGCTTTCTGCAGGATTTAGAGGAGGACAGAAACTCTTCATGTATTTTCTGCCCATCCATTGCTTTCAGTTCTCTAAAGCGCGAAACTGTCGGAAATGCGCCAAAATAAGAGTAAACACTAAATACTTGTAAACAATAGCGAAAGGAAAACGAAACTTATACTAGACTAATAATGCATTATGAAAAATATAATATGGTTTTATTCAAATGTCCAACATGAAAAGTGTCCAACTCTTTTCACTCTTTAACAGAGGCAGAACAAAGACCATTCTCTAACAGCCTCTAAAGCACTCGCCTGACATGCAGAACATGTTCCTGGAGAGAATGGGAAAATATCAGTATGTCATCCAGGTAAACATAGATAAATCTCTTATCACGTCATTGACGAATGCCTGGAAAACAGCCGGACCGTTGGAAAGGCCGAAGGGCAGAACGCAGTACTCGAAATGCCCTCTTGGGCGTGTTAAATGCTGATTTCCACTCATCCCCACTCTTATGCGAACCAAATGATAAGCATTGCGGAGATCTAATTTTGTAAAAAAGTTCACCCCCTGCAGATGTTCAAAGGCTGAAGACATCAACGGCAAAGGGTATGTATTCTTGACCGTGATGTTGTTCAGCCCTTGATAATCAATGCACGGGCGAAGGGAACCATCCTTCTTTTACACAAACAAAAAAATCTCGTCCCCGCCGGTGAAGAAGAGGGGCGAATGATCTTGGCTGTTAGAGAATCAGAAATATATTTTCCATGTCCTCCCTCTCTGGGGCAAAAACGAGTATAATTTGCCTTTAAGCGGAGACGTACCTGGTAATAAATCTATAGCACAGTCATGGGGACGATGAGGAGGCAGAGAAGCAGCCCCGGACTTACTGAACACTCTCTTCAGGTCATGGTACTTATGAGGCACATTTGGTAGATCTATCTGCTCCTCCTGAAACACAGAACGAGAAACAGCAGAACAAGCAGACAATAAACAAGATTTGTGACAGCTCTCGCTCCAAGAAAGCACAGTATTATGTCCCCAATTAATGTGAGGTTTGTCCAAAACCAGCCAGGGATGTCCCAAGATCACAGGGGTGGTGATAGTCTCTGTAAAAAAAAAAAAAAAACTCAATAGTTTCGGAATGGTTACCAGAAGTAATAAGTCTTATTGGAGCAGTGGAGTGTGTGATGGTGGGGAGAGAAAGACCGCTAAGAGCGTGCACTGCGTTAGGAAGAGAAAGGGGAACAACAGGGATTTTCAAACTGTATGCCAGCTTAGAGTCAATAAAATTCCCCTCGGCTCCGGAGTCGATGAGCGCATGCCAGCGGTGCATGATAGAGTTAAAAGATAGATTGACTGGCAGCATGGTTGTGTTAGGAGATTTGTCCAGGGTGATTTTACCTGCCAGTAAACTCTTACCCGGCGACAAATTCTTATTCTTGGCTAGACACGAAGCCACAAAATGTCCAGCGACTCCACAGTACATGCACACTCCCTCCATGTGGCGACGACGCCTCTCCTTCGTGGAAAACCGGAATCTGCCCATCTGTATGGGTTCCGGCTCGAGATCAGATGAGGTGGGTGAGGTGGATTTTATACTCTTTAAAGTGTGAAGTTAATCTATATATTCAAATTATATGTGTATAATCTGCTTGTAGACTTGCATACCATTAAAACAATTAAAGTGTTATGTAGAGTTAGAAACGGGAAATGGCCTGAGGAAACAACTAAGGGTCATAAAAAAGGGATGGAAAGAGATTGGTAAAAAAGCCTGAGGTGTCTCAGGAAACAGATGTCAGAGGTGGAATTTGGGGTCAGGGGTTAAACTAGGAGGGATCTTGTGTAATATATGGAGAACAAAGGAAAACAACGGATGTAAAAGGGTATTTAAGTAAGGCCAGCTCATTAGTGAGACAGAATTTTTCAGACAGAGACGCAACTGGGGGTCTCCTGAAAGTTCTCCTTTGTTGTCGACAATAAAGTATATTCTTCTGACATTCATAACCTCCAGACTGAGTGTTGTTACAACCGGCTCAAAGTTGCAACATTAGAGAGACAATACGGACCAGGTAAATTGAAAAGAGAAATGATTTATTAACAAAATGTATAATTAACAAAAGTATTTAAAGCAATCCAAGTCAGTATAGGTGAAAGTCAGTAGTGAAAAGCATGTGTATGGAAGTGTACTGAGCTCATGATCCAAACACAAAACTAAATCAAAAGCGCCAAGCAGAGACGTCCGGCTAATCGAGCTCTCCTAGACCGAATGCCGGACTCCTTATAAAACACCCCACGATGAGTCTCAGGTGGGATGACCCACCCACCAATCTGCAATCATGCATGCAGGCTCTGCAAAAATCACACAAAAAACACACACATACAAACAGGTCCCACATGGGACCTAACATCTCCCCCCCTAAAAAAAAAGAAAAAAATATATAAATGCCACAAATACCAATAATTTCTCTTCACTTTTTATACTATTTTTTCCCTATTTTTTTTTATCTAAACTTGAAACATTAGTACTGCTTAAATTCTTAGGATGAAACGGTATGAAGTAAAGTAAAGCTACAGTTTGGTATACTCCTGCCCCATCTCCTCTCCGTCAGCAAACTGGATCCTGAAAGCATTTAAGAAGAGACACAACAAGACCACCACCAAACAAGAAACTTACCCACTCAGTCACATCACTCAGAATGAGCTCGAGACAAACAGTCAGCAAACACATTGTCCGTACCCCTTATGTGTTTAATTAGCAAATTGTAGGGTTTTAAAAACAAAACCCACCGCATCAATCTCTGACTGGGACTTTTCAGTGTATGTAGAAAAATTAACGGATTATGATCTGAGAAAACAACAACTTGAGAACCACCTCCCACATAAACTTCAAAATATTGGAGTGCCCATATTAAAGCAAGTGTCTCTCTCAATAACAGAGTAGTTTACCTGATAGGAGTTAAATTTCCTTGAGAAATAACAAACTGGGTGGTCCACACCATCCAACCCAGTTTGCAAAAGAACTGCACCTGCCCCAATCTGACTCGCATCCACCTGAATCATAAACGGCTTGTCAAACTGCGGTGCAACAAGAACTGGATTTGAGGAAAGCAGAAGTTTAACATTGTTAAATGCTTGCTGGCAACCAGAGGACCAAACGAATGGAACAGACGCTTTTAATAGATTTGTTAATGGGGCTACTACAGAAGAAAAATTTGGGCAAAACCCTCGATAATAGCCCGCCATACCCAAAAAATGCATTAAATCCTTTTTTGTAGATGGGACGGGGAACCCCTCAATAGCCCGCACCTTCTCTTTCAAGGGACGCACGTAACCATGTCCGACGTCCCTTCCCAAATAGAACACAGTAGCCTTGGCAAACTCGCACTTTGCCAAATTTACTGTGAGTTTCGCCTCCAATAACCGCAAAAATAAAGCACGAACACGCTCCAGATGTTGTTCCCATGTATCGCTACAAACAACTACGTCATCTAAATAGACTGCACAACCCGAAAGTCCTGATACAACCCGATTCATTAATCTTTGAAACGTTGCCGGAGCGTTTCGCAATCCGAAGCTCATTACAGAATAGGAATATAATCCGGAAGAAGTCACAAACGCAGTGATCTCTTGCGCTCGAGGTGTTAACGGAATTTGATAATAACCCTTTAACAGGTCGAATTTACTTACGAATTTAGCAGCCCCTACTTGATCCACGCAATCTTCGACTCTGGGAAGTGGAAAAGCATCAGGTTTAGTGATCTTATTTATCTTTCGATAATCTGTACAAAATCGGTATGAATTATCAGATTTTTTTACCAATAAACAAGGTGAAGCCCAACTAGAACAAGATGGTTTTGCCAAGTTATTATCAAGCAAATACTGAACTTCAGCCTCTAACGCCTGTTGCTTTACCCGTGGCGCTCGGTAAAAACGCTGACGAACAGGTGTTGCATCACCAACATCCACATCATGTTCGATCAAATGGGTGCGAGATGGAACATCACCAAACAACTCTGGAAATTCGTGTATCAGCTTTATTAATTCTCCCTTCTGAGAAATAGTTAGATGGCGCATTAAATTTTCTAAATTAAGAAGCGTCTCTGTATTGGATAACCTCGGTTGCAGCACACAATCAGTTGGAGCCTCATCTTCCTCCATCTCCGGTACAATTTCATCTGTCTGAGAAACCGTTAACACAGCAGATGTTTTACAATCAGTCTGATCACGGGAATAATATGGTTTCAACAAATTTACATGGCACAACTGCTCACTTTTCTTTCGATCTGGGGTTGAAATAAAATAATTTAACTCTGATATGCGGCGAGTAACTATATAAGGGCCTGAAAATTTTGCTCGAAAAGGTGAAGCAGGCAAAGGCAACAGCGCAAGCACCTGATCCCCAGGAGAAAACTCACGGACTTCAGAATCACGATCAAATAACTGCTTCATTTTTTCCTGTTTCTTCTCTAAATTCTCTCGCGCTGTCTGACCCGCAAGGACCAATCTCCTCCTAAACCCATTAACGTAGTCCAAAAGACTTCTCGGCGGCTCCTCCCCCTTTAAACAATCTTTTAACAGTGCTAACGGGCCCCGAATTTTATGTGCAAATACCAAATCATTTGGGCTGAAGCCTAAACTAGACTGTATTACCTCTCTTGCTGCCAAAAGAAGCCACGGTAATCCCTCCTCCCAGTCGCGATTCAATTCAGTGCAATACGCACGCAGCAAACTCTTGAATGACTGATGGAAACGCTCCAGCGCGCCCTGACTTTGGGGATGGTACGCACTCGACTGCTGATGACGCACTCGCAGTTGTTTTAAGATCTCAGCAAACATTTTAGAGGAAAAATTTGTTCCTTGATCACTTTGAATGATTTTTGGTATACCAAAAATGGCAATGAACTGGGAGAGAGCTTTAACTACAGCTTTCGTAGTAATCTTTCGTAACGGAAACGCAGCAGGGAACCGGGTATTTTGACACATAACCGTCAATAAAAACTTGCTTCCCGATTTTGAAGGTGGTAACGGTCCCACACAGTCAATTAATAAATGCTCAAAAGGCTGCCCCATCACTGGTATGGGACACAGCGGAGCAGGTTTAAGTGACTGATTGGGCTTTCCTGTCATTTGACATACATGGCACGTTTTAATGAATTTAGAGACATCCCTCTTTAACAAAGGCCAATAAAAATGTCGCAGTATTCGATTATAAGTCTTTTTAACACCTAGATGACCTCCAACGGGACTATGCGCCACTTCTAGAACCGCCGTGCGCAGTTTTGTGGGCACCACAATCTGTACTACTAGCTCACCTCCACAAATCTCACTATAAGACATCCATTTACGCAGTAACATCCCGTCTTGTACGAAATACCCAGCTGCTGCACTGTGCGCCTCTTCAGGGGACAAAATAGCATCGAACAGTGGAGACAACGTAACATCCTCCTGCTGCGCAGCTATAAGCTCTGCACTAGAAAAGGTAGGAAGAAGAGACAGACCAGGCACATTACACTTTTTCAGAGGAGTTGCATTAAAGTCGCCCTGCACAGATTCATCTAATTTGAATTTAGAACGAGTCACGGCACATGATGGGAAAATATGGGAATCCCCCGCAACGAAATCATCAGATACAGGCGGCGTAATGACAATGGGTAAAGGAGATGCGTCTGGCCACACGCGCTCTCCCGCTAGGTTGTTACCCAAGATCACGTCTACTCCACCCACTGGAAGTGATGGACGCACACCCATAGTGACCTCACCATTCACAAGCTCCGAACGCAGTACCACTCTGTGTAAAGGAACAGCCGTACAAGTAAGAGTGATGCCTTGCACCAGCACATTCTTCCCCAACCCAGACTCTGTGGAAAAAGGCAAAACAGAATTTAAAATAAAAGATTCAGAAGCTCCCGTGTCACGCAAGATCTTAACGGGTACATTTTCACTCCCTCCCGGCAATGAAACGAATCCCTCTGTAACAAACGGAATATAACTCGGATTTAACTCAGGCCTTTTACATGATTCAACAAAAAATGAATCCTCTTCAAAATGAAGTTCAGGGTAAACAGAATCAGCAAGTAAAACAGATGAGCTATTTTGCGACTTTGAACCTTTACGCATATGCTTATTTTTTAGGACAGGGCATTCTTTTTTCCAATGCCCCTCCTCAAAACAATACCTGCACACAGAATCAGGAATGGGTCTTGATGGTACGTGTAACATTTTCTCTGCTTTAAACTCAGGTTTTCGAATATTTGATCTCGGTTCATCAATAGGATAATTCCTACCCCTATTCATTCGATAATCACTCACCCATCTTTTATGCGTTACCACAAAATCATCGGCTAACACGGCAGCCTCACTCGCAGTTGCTGGCTTATTCTCATTAATATAAGTGGCAATGTTTTCTGGAATAATATTCTTGAGCTGTTCAGTAAGGATCAATTCCCGCAACCCGTCAAATGTGCGCACATTAGAGGTGGAACACCAGCGATCAAAATGTGTAGCCAATTCACGAAGGACTTCAACATGAGTTTGTCTGTCATTTTTTCTCCAAGTACGAAAACGTATGCGATACGCCTCAGGAACTAATTCAAACGCTTTAAGAACTGCAGATTTTACCTTTTCATAATTTCTACGATCTTCCACTGAAAGCGCAGTATAAGCCTCTTGAGCTCTTCCCACAAGTACTGACTGCAACATAATTGTACGGTCAGCGCTTGGCCAACCTCGTTCATCAGCTACACTTTCGAATAAAGAAAAGAAAACTTCAGGATCTTTTTCATTAAATTTTGGTAGCAACTTTAAATTGCTTACCAAGTCACCTGCTCGATTTCGTTCCCCGACGCCGTCTGCTAAGGGTCTCCCATCAGCCATGATTTTTAATCGTTCCATTTGTAACTGATAATCTCTAGCTTGTCGATCTAATTCTAATTTTTGATCATGTTTAAGTTTCTCATATTCGATTTCACGCTGTTTTACCAACTCCTCTGCCTTTAATCTCGCCAATTCAACCTCTTTTTCTTTTAGTTCTCGCTCGCGCTCTGTTGCCTGCTTGTACATTTCTTTTTCATGAGCCTGTCTCAACTCTAATAATTCTTTTCGCTGTTCAAACGACAAATTACTCTCCGAAAAATCAAACTTACCCATTCCCTCATCAGCAGTCTCAGATACCGGAATTAACACGCCACAATCAACTAATGCGCTCTTAATTAAAGCTCTCAATTCATTTTTTCGCAACCGCTTATCAATTCCCGTTAATTTATAGTTATCAACAATGTCCCACAGCTGTAGCTTTGAACACAAATTTAACTTCTCCTCTGATGGAGAACTAACAAAATCTTCCAACGAAATCATCCCAAAGAATAAACTTACCCAAATGCAGTACTAATAAATACTTACGACTTGCATCTAAACTTCGGACATAAGCAATCGGCTCATAATCAAATATCCCCCTAACTAACCCACATTTCCCACTAACTAAACTTACCTAACTCTTCTGTGTTTTCCCAAGAGTCAAGCCTCTTTAAGCAGCTAATACCGCTGGTGCACAGCTGAACTGTCGGCTCAGAAATGCAACCACGGCCGTGCACTTAACCCAGGAAAACACCAAAAAATAAAAAAACAATAACCTATCCGGGGATCACCAAAACATATTATGAGCCGAACTTACCTGTCCGAAGCCAAACGAACGCTCTGCTCTGCCAAAACATGCACCTGATTCTCTTTAACAATTACCGGTCCGCATGCCTCTCAATAAGACGAGCCCCCATATGTTACAACCGGCTCAAAGTTGCAACATTAGAGAGACAATACGGACCAGGTAAATTGAAAAGAGAAATGATTTATTAACAAAATGTATAATTAACAAAAGTATTTAAAGCAATCCAAGTCAGTATAGGTGAAAGTCAGTAGTGAAAAGCATGTGTATGGAAGTGTACTGAGCTCATGATCCAAACACAAAACTAAATCAAAAGCGCCAAGCAGAGACGTCCGGCTAATCGAGCTCTCCTAGACCGAATGCCGGACTCCTTATAAAACACCCCACGATGAGTCTCAGGTGGGATGACCCACCCACCAATCTGCAATCATGCATGCAGGCTCTGCAAAAATCACACAAAAAACACACACATACAAACAGGTCCCACATGGGACCTAACAGTGTGATTGAGCAAGAGAAAAACCAAGAAAACCACTACATTTGGCGTCCCTCTGGGTGGGCTGGAAAGGAGCAGGACTGGTGTTGCTGTGCATGCTGGACTGGAGAGAAAACACAAATATGTGGCCACAATAAAAAACGGTAAGCAATTTTATGCTTATTAGTTTGTGTTTTTTCTGCCAGGACCTGCTTGTACAGGTAAACACACTTGAACTGTTTCTCCAGCTTTAAAGAATTAAAAGTAAATGTAAAAAACATATTAAAGAAAAAAGGGGTTTTGAATAACAGAAGAAAAATAATTTGCATGCAAATGATCTGTGTTTTCCTAAGAGGGCCTTGATGGATAGGATAAACATTAACTAGTAACTGTTACTCAGATTTGGAAAATTATTAATGAAGTAAGATATGCATAGAGCATTTATAAGTTTTAAGAGAGAGTCTTTAATGTGTGGTGACAGTTAAGAGATTAAAGCAGAGTAAGGTATGCAAATGATCTGTGTTTTCCTAAGTGGGCCTTGATGGATAGGATAAACATTAACTAGTAACTGTTACTCAGATTTGGGAAATTAATAATGATGTAAGATATGCATAGAGCATTTATAAGTTTTAAGAGAGAGTCCTTAATGTGTGGTAACAGTTAAGAGATTAAAGCAGATTAAAGTAGAGAGAGATGCGCGCAAAGACCTACGATACCGCTTTGTTTGAGGAGATAAACAAAGGGCTGCATGGGTAGACAAGGAACCTGTGGTTACCGCTCTAAGGTTAGAGGCTGCTCGGACAGGTCACTCAAGAGGAGTGTAGTGTAGAGTATTTATTTAATTGTAGTGTTTGTGTATTTGCTGCTTCAGGTTGTGGCAAAATAGTCCACATTGGTGTGCAGAGAAGACTGCCTTCCTCCTCCTTGAATGGAATGAGGACGGGGGATGCAGCTCCTGTTACACTGAGTGGAGGAGAGGAGTGAATGAGAAGAGGAAAAGTAGTAAGATTAGAAGTGTGAATATGTTTAAAAGTTTGTTTAAAAAAAAAAGTAGGTTAAAAGATTGATTGTATTAGATTATATAAAAGGAGGGTTGCATATGTGTGGTATGATTTAAAGAACAATAGGAATAGTGATTGATGCAGTTTAAGAGTAGAGATTATGATATAAAGAGAGGAGTCTCCTAAATCAAAACTAATGGAACATGTTGCATTTGAAAGACACAGAGTAAAAAGCAGAAGAATATACTAGTTAAACATTTTTCTGAAATTATCTTTGTGTTTTAAGTTTGAATATGTTAAAAAAGAACAATAGGCAAAGTAAACTTAAATTCCTGACATAGCAATAGGTGAAAGACAGACTGCTCCAGGATGAGGGTAAGAGAGAGATTTATGGTGTCCATGTGTGAACAATAAATAGATTGTCTATTTACAGCACTAGGGAAACAGAGAAGAGGAGAGTAAAAGAGAGGAGATCAAACTATAGATAAAATAATGACATAGACTTTAACATAATTGTGGATAGAATATAAGTTATTACTGAATAGATATATGATAAAGCAGTATAGTAAGATAAATGAAATGAGGAAATACTAATAATAGAGTTATATTATATAGAAAAGAGTTTGAAACTGTACGGATGAAAAAGAATAAATGAAGCCATAGTGATCAATATATATAGAGATAAAGGAAGTATAGAGTAAAAGAACGTATTAATAAACAAATAGATTTACTAAATAAGTATGAATGAATAAATTATAAGTTAGTTCTTTGATTGAGAATAAAATAGAAAAAGAAAACTTGAAAATGAATATTGATTAATTGAAGATTTAATTATAAAATGTGTAACAAAATAAGTTTTAAAATGTATAAGAAAACCTAAGAGCTAAAAACTTAAATTACAGAAAGGAAAAAGAATAAAATAGAAATAGGAAAAAATAAGTCCACTGTTTCATAGATAAAATTAGATGTTTAAAATATGCTTACAATATAGGCACATTGAACAGATAAGATAAAAAGTAAAAAGCAGGAATAATTTGAAGAAATAATTGACTTTAGAGAATTTGTTTGTATTTAAGGGCAATACAGATGTTTGTTTCATCTTTCTCAAAGTCAGTTATATCATTTATTCGTAGTAAAGTACAGTGATTCAGATGAAAATCATACAAGCTAGGTAAATGTTAAAGAATGTGTTAGAGTGAGTTAAAAAATACATTTTAAAGTTTATGCAGTAAGAAGCTAAATTGACTTTTATAGGTCATGAGCTAAATTCCATATATTAATTAAGAGGACAAAGGGATGGACTTTGAGGGACTGTGGTCTCTTATCTACCAGACATCTCTGAGTTCACTGGCAAATGGAAAAGATGTTTGAAAAACACAATGGACAAACTGTTGGCTGTGGACATTTGTGAAAGCAGTAAGGCAGGCACTGCATGCCCAGGAATTACTGAGGACTGGAAAGGCTACTTATGTTCAGAGACACTAAAGAGGCAAACAAGCTAACTGCTAAAAGCTAAAAGAGGCAAACAAGCTAACTGATCAAAGAGAAAAAGCGCTCCACCAGAACTTTACAACAGCTCAATGAAAGAGAGGGGGAAGCTGTGGCCCTGGACACCACAGAAAAAACTGCACCAATCTATGAACCAGTTGTCTTCTCAGTGTGTGAGGAGGGGGAGTCTGGCAGTCCATCTCAAAGCAGTCGAACTATAGTCCAAATTGAGTACAATGTGACCACTCAGAGGGCAAAATAAGAGCAAAAGTGTAGCTACCCATTCTTGCATCAAATCAGACTCCTATCAATTTGAATAAAAGAAAAGTATCATGTAAACTGTAAGAAAAGTCTTAGATGATAATGTACGATGAAACTTTAAATGTGTAATGTTGAAATTATAAATTATGAAGAATGTTAAATTATTTTGGTTCATTTTCATAGGTTAATTCATAGAGGTTATTGAACATAGGAGGATAAATTAAAATGCATGATGGTGATAAAAAAGATAATAAAAGACAGTTTTTGATAACTGAAAAATAATAATAATAATAATTTGGGTTAGAAGTTGATGGAGTTAAGTATTTAAGTTAAAATTAGGGAAAACTTATTTTGAGTAAACTAAACCAAGATTTGAGAGAAAAATTATGTCAGAGATTAAGACAGAAAAGTGATTTAAAGAAGAGATAGAAACACAAAAAAGTAAAATGAACTCACAATACTGAATAGGTCAAAAGGTAACAATTCTAAATGTACCAAAATAATGTTTGAAAAAGAAAAGTGTTTAAAAATAAAGAAACACCAATCATTGTTTTACAAATGTGAAAAAAACAATTAAAAGCAAAAAAGAATTAAGGACTAAAGGAGAAAAATCAGATCAGCTAGAGAGGAACCTATAAAGAAATCCAGTGATTTTTCAGTCAACTGATAAAAAATTACAACAAAAGTTTATAAATAACCAGTTTGATGTGAGAGCAGGAAGGAATTAGGAGCTGAAAATGCTGAAAAGTGAAAAATGGTAATAATATAAAATGCAAAATAGGAAATGGCTCAGAATTTAGAAATTGTTTAGGTAAGTGTCAAATTTTAATTATGGTTATCAGTCAGGACATAGAGGTAGACAAAATTAACCAGCATAGGGAGGATTAATTAAAATTAAACCAGATGCAGGTCTGTTATATGCTGGAATAGGCATTATTGAAACTTTTGAATACATAGCAATAATAGAAATATTTAGATATGTTATGGCATTTCTAATTAAAGAAAAAAAATTTGGTTGTGATGGTGTAGGTGACTAACAAAATGGATTCTATTTGAATTTGATTTGAATTTAAATTTTGATTATGGCATTAGTCAAAGCAGACAAAAGTAGATGTTGTAAAATTTACGATTTAAGAACAGTCAGTGATAGAGAATTTCTTAGCAGAGGTTCCTAACACGCACTGTACTAAAATTTGTTAGTTTTGATGCCAAATATGTTAAAATTATTTATTTTGGTTCAGTTAATTATCAGAGGAGGGTAGACACTTGGTTACACTTAAAGTAAATAGGCTGTTATACATACATTAGAATGCATAAAAGGATTTAGAATATTTCGTGATGGATATTGCAATGTGTAGGCTTTAGTTATCTGCAGGTACATCTAGCTCAAGCTAAGTAAAAGACATAAATAACATTTTTTTAGGGATGACGGGTTTAGTGTTAACAAGATTCTGTATCTATTCCAGATGCAATAATAACGGTTAAGCTGATAAATAAGAAATTGATTTTACATTAAAGAAAATAAGGTAGCAGGTCTAACACTAGTATAGAGTTACAACCTCAATTAGATGATAGTGCAAATTAAACAACATACTAGTATCTATGAGTAATATATGTAGCATTAGAGATGAAAGAAAAAGATGAATAAGATTTATGTAATACATACAAAGAACAGTGTTGAGGCAACAGCATTTCGATATATTAGCATTTGAGATGTACATGGTTTGAATTAAGGGTGAAGTGGTAAAGAAAATTGAGCAGCAAGGATAATCTCCTTTCTGAATGTAGTGATTGGTGAATTGTTGTACACATGCGACATCTGTGCAAAGTAGAATATGAGTAAAAGATCAGCAATAGGCCTAAGGGGATATTCAAGAACTTGATTGTGGATGTTAGGAAATAATATAATTAGCTTAGGGCAAGAGATACAAGTTTTTGGGCATGACAGTTGTGGTAGATGAGTGAAGGTAATTCCATTAGCAGAGCAGGGAAGAAAACAGTTATTACATTTAAGACAAGAGAAGTCTCAGATTTGGAATACCTTCAGAAATAAGTTTAATGTGTCTGCATTTAAAAATAAATTAGAGTAATGAAAGTTAATTAAAGTAAATAAAGGTAATTAAGTAGATAAATAAGTGGATATGTGATTCAGTGAATAGATAAGTAAATGTATTGATAAAGTATTGGAAATCAAGAAAATTGACCAATTACACATAATTGTAAGGAATGATTGAAAGAGCTAAAGATGATTCATCAAGGCCAGTTTAAC